TAACTGCAGAACTGCAGTCAGCTGAAGTAGCCTGCAGTGTTGCATTTAACCACTGTGCCACCTCGGCTCTTATGATGGAGTATATAAGCCAGCATATTAAATATATGGGACTCAATTCACGTTAATTGTTATTACTTATTAAGTCTATCTGCTGACCAACTCCCAGTAATTCTGGAATATTTTAGACCCTATTTTACTTCATGGTATGATTAATTTAAGCAATGGAACAGGTTTCAAATGATCAAATACTTTCTCTTTTAAAACAGTGAACTACATTCTGGAATTTTAAAGGAAATATTGACAATATCAATACTTAAGAACATTCAACTTTTATTTAAGATACTCCATGCAACATCTTGAAAGAAAAGTAGATCCCGAAGATTCCCAAAATCTGTAAGAATGCTGAAAAATTGGCAAGATTTAGATGTTTTGTCCCAATGCATCATGAGATTTTTCAACTTCCTGAGATCTGGGCATTTATTTTTTTTAAAAAATAATGTTTTATTTTAAGACTAAATAAACAACAAGCCTGTACACATCTCTCTTGGCACTTCCCAGGCCTCGCTCCCCATTTTTTGAAATATACTTTTAATTAAAAATAATAATCGTGGAAGTTGTAATGATGCAAAGAAAATTGCCAGCCTCTAGCATCATTTTTATCTACAAAGATGCCTCTAGGTATCCCCAGACTTCAAACACAATCTTATAGTTTGCTGTTAAGAACTTTTAGCTTTGGGAAACAATGTTGATTGTAAGAAGCCTGAGGAAAGAGCTAAAGAATTAGCAAGTAGTAATCTCTTTTGTTTGCCTGTTGCTAAATGAATGCTTTGTCACTGACCTCACTTAGTAAAGCCCAGTGACAGGAGTTATTTTGTAAGCATACCTACAGTAAGTTTTAAAAATTCCAAATATGCTCAGCAGCTGAAAAATGTTGCTATGTCAGCCTAAGGTTCGACAGACTGATTTCCACATATTGAAATTCATAAAACGTTATCCTAGATTGGGAAGGAAGAGAGTAAAATAGCAAAAAATAATAATAATGATGTGAGAATTTGTTAAATCAAAGAGTTCTCATGAGCCCTATCAGAAGGTTACAAGCTCTGTTTGTGCACACTTGGAAGCATTTTCTGCTGAATGGGGGAAATTTGGCTGACTTTCCAGA